TAGTGATGGGCAAAACGATTCATTTTGATGTTTCGAATCAAATGACTCATTTCAAAGTTGAGAGTCGAAACTGGGAGCCGACTCTTCCGACTCCCAACTCCCATGGTAGATATCGAATCGCTAAGTTCGTAATTCGCATAATCACGGTGGCCCGTCTCGGAACGGACGGAAATAGCGGAATCTGGGCCGATTGACGAATTTTGTCGATCTTGAGCTTGACCGATAATTCGATTACATATTTGTTTACTGAAACGACTAAAATTGAAATTAGTTCTTCCACTGCAGTCAAGGGTTATGTACTTAGTTCTTTCACTGAAATTTGTTGTCATACAAAAATGCGAATGAATGCGACGATAAAGCATATATTCTCTTCAAACGTTTACAAATACAAACGCAAACCGTTTGCTACCGTTTTTCCCTGTAGATTGTGGCCATTGTTGCCCACACTCTTTACTCCCTATCAGTATCAAACGACTTGCAAATCACTAAATATCAGTGATCACAGGCACAGCTACACGCCGATCCAAATCGCAAAACGAATCTGACTCACATCTGACTCTCGGCCCTGGTGGTTCAGCTGTACACTATAACGGATTCGACACTCCACACGGAAGTCGGTGAATCATCGGAGTCGACTCTTACATATTTTGGGAGTCGACTCAGATGATCTAAGCCAAGAGTCGACTCTCTGATTCGAAACATACACTCACTAGCCAACACTAATGTCTATGACTAAAACTTTTATAATAGGGTAGTAAACGTATTCTATGTAATAAATAATATTGATAAATACGTAATTTGTCAGATCTGAGAGCGTCGATCACAATGCCTCGAGAATCCTCTGACGCCCTGGGGCCCTACGAAGTAAACGTCAAAATGTGTAGGAGTGGCACAGGGAGTGGGTCAATCGTCGACCCCGCCCCATGGACCTAATAATTCCCTTATTTATGTACCTATTATCATAAACAAGGCTAATACGCAATAAACCACAAGTCAAGGTGTATGCATCTGGAACCTGCTGGAACGATGATAACGGTCTGCCAACATAAAAGCACAAATAAAGTGGCGAGCTACCACCAAATGAAACTCCCTATTTTTTTTTTACTCGAAATTGTAAATTAATATTATCTAATAAACAAAAACATTTAATTTAATTTTCAATATTATTCTTTGATTATTATGATGATTAATAAATATTTTCTAACGTTTGAAAAATACAACTTTCGTAGGTAACTTAACAACGCGGCAAATTCAAATTGTATGAGTTAGTTACAAACTTGAAAAAATATGTAGGTATATATATTTGGCCTTCGCCCTGTTAAGTCAATAATTCCGGTCCATTCCATTTATAGTGATTTTAAAAGTATGGCGAATAAAGGAAAATTTACTGACAGATCACCTGCAATACAAGCTGTATGTATCTGGTGAATTATAATATTATATCAACTATAATACAAGCTGTATATATTATGTGATTTATAACGTTTTGATAATTTTGTACTTTCAAGGCGGGGAAGCAGTCTTCAGGGGCAGCCGAGGACACAGCTTTTGAAGACTTACAAGTTACTGCACATGAAAGTTTCTGGGAAAAGGAAGTCGGTAAGCCTCAGGACAAAGCTAATTTTTTCATGATATAATCAAATTTTTTGTTTGCATCTCGCAGGTTTGCTGTTCGTTTTTTTTTACGTCTGGGTCTATCGAAAAAACGATAGTACAATAGGTTTTAATTAAGTACGTCGACAAATTTGAAGGGGATTAAGTAAACTTAAAGATTATACAGGGTGGTCTCCAAGTAATGGACCAAAATTCATGGGTAGATTCCTGGGACCACCCTGTATAAACATAGATCCGCAAATCGAAACGAATGTTCTAACGACGTTTGTTGCAAAATGACGAATCTTAGGCTAATGATTTTATTAATTAAATATAAAATTCCACCGAATTCGAATATAAATTTATTAAATACTAATTTTTTTACTTGAAATTTACGAAAGTGTGTTTCTTAAACAATGTCGATTGTTCATTACAGATGTTCTGAAAGCTACATAAAATATACAGAGTTGTGCGTAGTGTTGTGTGAAATGTGCAGATTAGAATTTTGAAAAAATTATTTCTCAAAAACTATGTTCGACCACACAAAAATAATTTCAGCTTCAAATGGCATAATCAATTTTTATATGTAACGTTTCGTCTCTCCAGGACCATCATCAACTTCATTTTTTAAATACGACCTTAGAAAGTTTATTACACTTTTTGCAAGCCTTCATAACCCCCAATACTGTACCGCCTCAGCCCGAACCAGAGTCAAACGTTTTGTCTCGAAAAATTCATCTTCAGTGTATTCATTCTAAATGTATCTAAATTTTTTATTTAGATTTCTTTGTTTGTCTAATTATCGTACACTCTAAGTATCGTTAGACCCTGGGAAATCCACCTAGTTATTTAAACTATTACCATCACACGTTACAATAAAACATTATTGGAGTTTTAATCTCCATCACCAGGTCATAAATAATTCGATAAGTTGTTGCATCAAAATTAAAGCATTATTACAATTTTAATTTCATTATGACAAATTAATTCTTAAAAAATGCACATGAACAACCAAATGAATATTTTACCTTAAAAAATTACAGTAAATGAATAATATAGCGTTTCCGTTTTGGCAAATGTTGAAAATGAAAATAGGTATAATATGATCCGAATTTATTATACCTGTAACCGCAACTGTAAAAGAGCATGTCATATCTATTTGTATGAACATCCTGAAAAAAATTAGATCGAAATTTATTTGAATTTTGAGCACTCGAAAAACCTAGAAATAACTATGAGCACCGGATTAAAACTAATAATCTTTTACTGTAACGTGTTATAGTAATAGTTTAAATAACTAGGTGGATTTCACAGGGTCTAACGACACTTAGACTGTACAATAATTCAATAAACATAGAAATCTAATAAAAAATAGTGGAACGTATACATTGAAGATGAATTTTTCGAGACAAAACGTCTGACTCTGGTTCGGGCTGAGGCAGTACATTATTGGGGGTCATGAAGGCTTGCAAAAAATGTAATAAAATTTCTAGGGTCGTATTTAAAAAAATGAAGTTGTTGATGGTACTGGAGAGACGAAACGTTACATATTAAATTGATTATGCCATTTGATAGAGGGGAAAAATGGCCATGAGAAAGTGTTCTTCTTTTTTCAATATCACCTCAAACAAGGCTGAAATTAAACAAAAACGGTTTTGCAAAATTTCGATTTTTTTCAAATATTTTGAAAACTAATCATGTTAGCCTTGATTTTTTAGAGGCATAATGTTGGTCCCCTGATTATGCAACTTTGGCCCCATTTAAGCTACGTCGTATCTCTTACCGTTTCCAAGATCCTTGTAGTGAGAAGCGAATTTGTAACGGCCTGTATATAATATATTAGGATGGCCCAAAAAAAACTAATGTATTTTTTTTCGTGTCTCTTGTGAAAATATGTTAGTTTATCATGTTTTAAGAGCCCCTTCAAAAGATCAGCTCAAAAAATTTTTTTTAGAGGTCGCTCAAGATTTTTTAATATTTCCAGTCGTCAAAAATTGAATTATTTTTTTTTTATTTTTTTTCTCGTTATTTTATTATTTTCTAGGTTGAAAAAAATCTCGATTCTGAAAATTTCAAATCAATATTTTAATTTCTAAAGGTCACTCATTGTTATTTTAACTTTCAAAGTAGTGTACCTAAAATGTTTTCGAGGGACCTCTAAAAATAAATATCAACGAACTAATAATTTTTTTTTATTGAATTTGAGGAACAAAGGAATAGAAATAAATCACGACACTTAAAAAATTTCTTGAGGCAAAATTTACTGCTGCACTGTGAGTGTCTTGAGATTTATTTCTATTCATTTGTTCATCAAATTCAATAAAAAAAAATATTAGTTGATATTTATTTTTAGAGGTCGCCTGAAAACATTTTATGTACACTACATTGAAATTTAAAATAATTATGAGTTACATTTAGAAATTAAAATATTGATTTGAAATTTTCAGAATCGAGATTATTTTCAACTTAGAAAATGATAAAATAATGGGGAAAAATAAAATAAAAAAATTAAATATTAGACGATTTTGGAAATTTTTAAAAACCTTGAGTGACCCCTAAAAAAAATTTTTTTTGAGGGGCTATAATCAAATACCTTTTGACTGCCTCTATTTTCTAATACTATTGTGCTGTCCCACGTTTCCCTTGATCTTCCTGGCCTTCTTTTAGCTTGTATTTTAGCTTCTCATATCCCTTTCACTTGTCTGATATTATTCATTCGTTGTAAGTGTCCCCACACCAGCTCAGCTGTCGCTGTTCTATGAATTCTAATACCGACTGTACTCCTAAATCTTTTCTTATTTGCTCACTTCTCATTCTATCCATTTTCGTTACTCCTCTCACTCTCCTCAGATACTTCAATTCTGTTGCTTGAATTTTACTTCTGTGTTGTCTCGTCAATATCCATGTCTCACACCCATATGTTAAAATTGGTTTATAAACTGCTTGATATACATTCATTTTAGTTTTTGTAGATATTTCCCCCTTGTTAATGAAAGTTTTATTTATACTGTGATATACTTTCATTGTATTTTCTATTCTTTTTTCTATTTCTTCATCTTTTTTCCTGATCCTTCTGTCAATACTCCTAGATAATCAAAATATTGTACTTGTTCCAACTCCATTCCATCTGTCTGTATATTTATTTTCTGTTGCTCTTCTATTAATGACATTGTTTTTGTTTTCTTAGCATTTATTTTCATTTCATTTACTCCTAATACTTATTTCCATACATCTATATGTTTCTGTAATTCTTTCTCACTTGCAGCCATAATTACGACATTATCTGCATACGCACATTCTGACATATTTACTGCTTGCAAGTTTCTGTACCCTACAAATAGATTCTTTGTTCTTTCATTACATTTCTTAATGATGTGGTCCTTCCTTTATCCTTCCTTTGTTTTAAATATTGCCAATTTCATATTTTTGTAAATAACTAAATTTGTTGTACTTCTATATATAAGCTCTGTATTACTTTATTCAGTTTACTCCTTTCTTCTCTAATATGTCCCACACCTTTGCTCTCGGTACTTTGTCAAAAGCCTTTTCTAAGTCTATAAAAGCCATACAGGCATTTCCTCTCTTCAATCTTGTCTTATTTAAAATTTGCTGAATGGTAAATATAACGAGCGTTCAAATAAAAACGTGGTCAAGTTGGTTCTGAAAATTTGGATGTAGGGCATAGCGTATAGCAAATGAACTTAAACGTCATCTGTCAAAGCGCTATATCGCCGCTATCAATTTGAATATTTTCGTTTTAAAAAGCGTTTAAAATGGTGTTTTCTCAAGAACAAAAAGTGTTTATCATAGAGTCCTACTTTAGAAATGGACGCAAGATTGATGGAATATGGAAGTATTCTATTGAGGAATGTTTCATAGAATTTCAAAATCAATTTCCCGGCGTTGTTGAGTACAAAATTTTTCAAAGTGCAGTTCAGCGTTGTGTTAATGTTTTTCGTGAAACGGGCAGTGTAACAAGAAAAGAAGGAAGCGGCCGACCTAAAAAGCGGACTGAAGAATTAAAAGAAAATGTCCAACAAATAATGGAAAATGCGCCAAGAACTTCTGTACGTGTTTTATCACAAATGGTGGGAGTATCAGTCGGTACCTGCCACACAGTGTTAAAAAAAGATTTGCGTTTGTTCTCCTATCGTTTAACTTGTCAGCAAGAACTTCATGAAGTTGATTTTCCGCGACGGGCTGTATTTTGTGAATGGTTTTTAAACAACTACGGTGAACTTCATAATATCACCTTTTTTTCTGATGAAGCCTGGTTTCATTTAAGTGGTTACGTAAACTCACAGAATATGAGAATGTGGTCTTCTGAAAAACCAGATAACTTTTTTGTCGAGGGCCCTCTACACGCTCAAAAAATTGGAGTTTGGTGTGCTCTCAATCGAAGGAGGATTTATGGACCTATTTTTTTTAATGGTACTCTTACTGCGCAAAGGTATAGAGAAGAAATTATCGCTCCTTTTGTTAACCAGCTGGAAGAAAACGAAATTACAAACTTTTACTTTCAACAAGATGGCGCAAGGGCACATACGGCAGGCGAGACGATGAATATGTTGAGGGAAGTTTTCCAAAATCGACTAATAAGTCTCAATGCTGAACATGAATTTCCACCGAGGTCATGTGATATTACGCCGTGTGATTTCTTTTTGTGGCCTTACCTTAAAAACACTATTTTTGAACTGCCTATTCCTGATTTAAACCATCTGCAGGCTCGACTTATAGACAAGATTCGTGAAATTAACAATACCCCGAGCATCTTAGAAAATGTCTTTAATTCTTTGAGGAACAGGTGTGAAAAGTGCTTGGAACAAGGAGGGGGACACTTTCAGCAGCTGCTTTAATTTATTGTTATAACAAGGAGGGGGACACTTTCCGCAGCTCCTTTAATTGTTTGTTATTGTTATCACGATTATTCTTTAAAATAAAGTTATATAGTCATTAACGTTATTGAAACTGACAGCTGCTATACAGCTCGTTGAGAAATGAGGTTAAGTTGGTCGCTATAAGCTACTCCCTACGTCCAATGTGTCAGAGCCAACTTCGACCACGTTTTTATTTGAACGCTCGTTATGATCCTGCGTACTTCTACCGTTTCTAAAACCACTTTGGGACTCTGTCATTGTCACTTCTATATATTCTTCACTCTTATATTTAAATTTGCTCAGATAATTTTATTCCAGTACTCAACAACATTATTCCTCTATAATTATTACAATCTTTCTGATCCCCTTTCCCAGTTTGTTGGTATCGTTTCTTCATTCTAAGTTTTATTTATTATTTCCAATAGCGTTTTCATCGCATTTTCTCCCATATTTTTAAGCATTTCTGATGTTATTTTGTCTTGACCTGGCGCGTTTCCATTTTTTAGTTTTCTTAAAGCTTGAGTCATTTCTTCCGTGGTTATTACTTCGTTTTCTCTCGCATTTATTCTGTTCTTGTTTGTTTCTTCTTGTCTATGATTCATCTCTTCTCCTTCTAGTAGTTCTTGAAAATATTCTTTCCATCTTTGTATTGTTTCCACTTCATCTGCCAAAATGTGTCCAGGAGCGCTTTTTACTGCCATAATTTCTATCGCTTTCTCTCATCTCATAGTTTTTATTACTTTATAAAATAATTTTTGATTGCTTTTATAATTTTCTTCCATTTTTGTTCCGAATTCCGACCATGCTTTCTCTTTAAGTGCTTTTAACAATATTTCTTCACCTTTTATATTCTTCCGGGCTTTCTTCAGTTTTCTTTGTTAAGTAAACTTTCCATTTTTCCGTTTTACTTTGAACTTGTTGTTTTATTTCTTCGTTCCACCACACTGTTTGTTTCCTTTTGTTTATTATTTTACTTGTTCCACATATCTTCTTGGCACATCCAATTATTATTTCTTTAAACTTATTCCATAGTTGATTCGCGGTTACGGTATAGTAAATAATTACCAAAATATTAGATCAATAAGGGTCCATTTTTTTTGTAATTGCAAATTTGGTAAATTTTTCAAACTTGCCAGTATTTCACAATTTTTTTACGCAGATATGATTTTCAGAATCCACAACTGAAGAATTGGTAAACTCTTCAAAACCTCCATATAAAGTGATTTGGGACAAGCGTGCTACACATGAAAGGTATAAGAAGACTCACGATGACTTTAACCCCTCTGAGAGGATGACCAGAGGGTAAGTACCGCCAAGAATAATGTTAAAAATTGTCTGTTAAATAAACACCTTCAACTGACCTTAGAGGGAACTTTTTCCAGGTACGATGATCACTTTGATCCTGCTCAGAAATTTGAAGGTAAAACACAATACGATGCAAGAGGCATATGGGTGAGGTGCGCCTGCGACTGGCACAGCCACGAACCCATTATTTCCTCCGATCAGATCCAAGCTAATTTCAACAAACGAACAAAACCACAACTGGGAGAGGTCTTAGCTCCGTAAGTATACAGCATGTTTCGGAATTAATCGCTAAACATAAAAATAAGAAAGTACTACGAAGGAATGTCCAGAAATGCTTTTATTTTTCAGATACAAGGATATTTGAAAAAAAAATGACATCTTAAATATCTCTGAATATGTTTGACATAGAACAGTGAAACTTGAGTAATAATTTATTTAATTAAAACTCGGTGGAATTTAAAAAAATATTTATTTTAAACTTTGGAGTATTTATATTATCACGCCATAGAATCCTGCTCTATTTGAAATTGCGCATTGTTGAGCAGTTAAGTATTACTCAAAGCCTCGAAGTCCCCTGTTTTTGAGCCCTCCGTTCACTATTTTGTTTCCCTGGGGCTTGTGATGATGCTTTGTCTTTGAAATGTCGTACAATTGTATTTTTCCATTTTTTATAAATATCGGACCAACATGGATTTATAGGAAAAATATCAGCATCGATGAATCTTGTGTATTTTATCGAGTTCATTTCTAAAGTTAGCGATCAGGAACAATGTACTCTCCAAAAACTTGAAGTATTCAGTTTTTATGGTAATTTCCTAAACCTCCTTAATTTATACATGTTGAGTCGTTTACAGTATGTCACTTATAACGGATTTGAATATAGTCTGTGTCTTATTACTTCTGGAGTAGTACCCCAGGGCTTTAATCTGGGTCCTCTTCTGTTTTCCATTTTTATTAACATTACAATGTATCTTAATTGTAATAAAAGAATATATGCTGATGATTTTAAAGTCTTTTCATTAATTTTGAATGTTGATGACATGTACACACACCTTCAGAGCAAATTAAATAAATATTTTCAAATGCAAAGTTTCTAAAATATCCCTGAAAACATTTGATGCAGAATGATGTCTTGTAGCTATAATGGTTGGGAGGATATCGGTTGGTGACCTTCAGTTTGACCTTGACCATAACCTTCAAGGCCATTTGAAGGTCAAATCTATCAATTTTTAAATAGGAATCTCTATTTTTGACCCCGGATTCGGAAAGAGAAAATGATCTCTTACAAAGTAAAAATTTCATCATTCTACATGAACCACCTTCAAAGATTCTAAAAATAATAATATTTTTTAAATTTTAACACCCTGCATCTATATAACTGTTTCTGATTTAAAATTACTCAAAAAGGAAGCAGAAGCAGAAGAAAACAATAAAGAAAATTTAACTGTTGATTTCAACACCTTGTAACTCAAAATTTTCGGACATTTCTTCATTGGAATTTTAAGGTTGGCCAGTTTAATCCTGAAATGCTGTATATTTCGAATAAATAAAATGGAATTAAAAACATAAAAATTAAGAAATATACAAAATAAATCAGACTGAAATTAAGGAAACCACCATTCATCTATTAATATTTTCAGTAATGACAACTTAGACTGTGTCCCAAAGGGTCACAGTTTCGGAAGAGTAAAGCCTAAGTCATCTGACGGCACTTCCGATTTGATAACTGACTCGAATCAGTCTTCATGTTTGTTTAAACAAGACTTCTACAAGTGGCTAGGGTCCTTGAACGATTTAAAATTGTTGTTGCAGCATAGAAGCGATGAGGATTTTCAATTCAACGATTTCTGTGACAAAGCCCAGCATTTTGACAAAGTAAAATTTTTTAATATACAGGGTGAGGCGGGAGAAACGCTTCAAGCTCTAGGTGTACATTCCACATGAAAAAATAGTTTAAAAGCTCAAGTCTTCCGATTTTTATTTGTTTTCAAATCAAATGTAACAAAATTACAGTATCTTAAATTAATAAAACGGTAGCAAAAATATTGTATACTCGCTATTAATTTAATTGTTTATAAATTTTGTTATGCTTAAGTTGAAAAAACTAATAAGAATAAGAATTAGATAACATTTGAGTTTTTTTAATTATTAAGTGTAGAATACGCTCCTAGAATTTGGGGGATTCCTCCTGACTCGGCCAGTATAGAAATAGCATTTGACGAGAATTTTTTCTAGAACCAAACAGGGTGGTTGCCAGTAGACACGTTTTTCGAACTGTGTATGTGTCACAAACTCACTTTCCCTAAGGAAGACATTGAATCCCTTATGAGGATCCTGGGTGTTATTGTAGACGACAAAGTCGATTATAAAAGATTCATTGAAATAATTGATGTCGATTCGCCATCGTTCCAAATAATGGAGTTTCATGGTAATTGAAAGTCCAATTTCTTTTCCATTATACAGTTATAGAGAGTGTAACTGATTTTATTTCGATAACGATAGAACAAGTGAAAATAGATTGACCGTATGCGAATGTAGATTATCAAATAATATAGTTTGACATACACAGGATATTTTTTAAGTTGGATATTGTCGGATGTAAAAATCCAAGGAACAACATCCTGAAGTTATGACATGAACTTAAAAAAAACACCCTGTATAACAAATAAAAAATATTTTCATTGTCTCCCGAAATTATTATCAAAATAAAAACTTTTACACCCTGTATAAAATAAAAACAATTAAATTGAAGAAAATGATGTAACGGCTACTAATAGAAACAAAATATTTGTTTTTAATATTCATTTGTTGGATTTTTAGATATACCCAAGACAAGCAGGTACTACGTGGGACCAGATCAGGCTGCAACTTGCGACTACATGATAATGGACAGTTCAGGTAAGTGAACAAACGTAACAAAAAAAATTCCTTATTCAAATTTTTCAAGGCATGTACGCAGCTGGATTACCGTCCGTCCGTTCTGATCATTTTCTCATCTCTACAAAACTGGCAGTGGACGAGCAAAAATTTGAGAAAAAGTAATACATTTATATGTGGTGAAAATATTCGCTAAACTAACACAAGCTTTCCTTGTATTCCTCTAACTTGAAAGTAAAATAAAAAAATATTTAATATAGATTTAAATGCATTTAAATTAATGGCATTAGGTAGCCACATTGTCACTGAAAAGTGATTGCTTGACCAGTATTTATACTTAAAATGAAATAATATAGTTGTATACTCAAAAATGTAGACAAGCATTTCATGTATTAATAAATCTGCAACAATTACAATGGTGTTTTTAGATAACTTATTTCTAGAAGAAAATTTGCATTTATAGGAAAGTATGCCTCCTCAAAATATAATATATATGATTTTAATAAAGTAGTAAAAGTTTATATGTAACAATGTTCAGGATGCGGGAGTGGTTTTCTGATGTGGCCCCACGTTGGGCGCCATGTTCAGAATCCGGGAGTGGTCTTGCTTGAATGTGAAGTTCGTCTTCTTGTTTCTCTCCGCGGAACGAGACATTTATTTTTATTTCACGTTTGTCCCTTTCTATTCAGAAAGTTACCTGAGAGGTAACAACAGCAAAATCAAAATGTAAAAGAAAAACGTATTGCTTATTTGACTCGAAGGCATTAAAGTCAAAACTGAACTGGATGCCGCGGAGGCGTGGGTTAGCTGCGGTTGAAGTACTACCGTGATGATTAGCGTCCACTTATTCTTTAAACTTAGGGTGTTGCTCCCCTTGAGTAAAGGATAGAGCTTAGCCCTGGTGGTCCTTGCTTGCGCCACTGTTTCCGCGATGTGCGTTTTCCACGTGAGTCGGTCCATCGTCACGCGCTGATTGAATATTATCTTCCTTTTTATTTCTACTCAAGTTGAATCTATTGTTTTTAACTTTGTTATTAAAGATGAACATCTACTAGTTAGAAATATGTTAAAAAAAATTTGATATTTTAAAAAATATTTTTATCCATTAGCGATTAAGTCTTCAAACGACCTAATAATAATAATTTTTTTCTATCCCGCATCAAAAAAAAATACATTTATATCAGAATATTCGCTTACAGCTCATACATTCACAAGCTTTCATAGTATTCCCCTAACTGGGAAATAAAATTTATTTGTTACTAAAAAAATATTTAAATTTAAATGCATTTAAATTAATGGCATTTTTTGTTTAATTTGGCAGCCTACATTGTCATTGAAAAGTTATTGCTTTGCTAGCATTTATGTTTTAAAATGAAAATGTAGTTGTAATCACAAAAATGTAAACGCACAATTCGTATATTAATAAATCTGCAACAATTAAAGTCGTATTTTTTTTTTAAATAACTTTCTACAATAAAAGCTACGTTTTAAATAAATTGATAATTGTTTTGGCTCCAAAACATTAATTTTCACATCTGTACTTCATTTTAAAAGAATATGGGAAAACTATTGAGAAAATCGAAATTTTTCATAGGAGCAAGTTTGTAGGAAATTTAATTTTGAACAACTTTTATTTGAAACTTTTTTCGAAAAAATGCATCTTAATTGAGATATTGGCAGTTTTTGGTCAAAAAACGCAAAAAATCGTATACAGGGTGTTGCAAAATGTTGTTCAGAGAATTCTAGAGTCGATTCTACAACCAAAAATAAAAAAAATTCCTATAAACATAGGTCCTCAAATGTTCATTTTCGAAATACAGGGTGTCAAAAACAAAAATAAATAGTTTTTTATTGTTAATTTCTACATTTTTCATTGGAAATCGTTTACATTTAGGTCATTTAATTTAGAAATTAAAACATTTTTTATTTTCTTTTAACACTATTTCGAAAAGGAAGCATTTGCCGACCTACGTTTATAGGAATTTTTTTCATATTTTTGGATGTGAAACTGCTCTAGAATTCTCTGAACAACATTTTGCAACACGCTGTATATGTCTATATCTCAAAACGCTGTACGTTGTTGGTGGTTACGTGTGTGATACATTTTCTGACCGCAAAACCTACACTTTTCTATAAAAAAAATCTCATATTTTTGAAGAAAATAACACTTTTTTCCTGTAAATGTGAGTCCAAAATAAATTTTAAAATTTTTCACCGTACCTAAATAGTTAATAAAATTTGAAAATATGATAGGTATTTAACTGTTCATCAGCCCAACCAAACCAACCAACCAAATGGTTGGTTTGAAAGATTTCAACGAAGTATATCCATTTTTAAGTACGTCAATAGCGCCATCCTGACGCCATGCCACCGGGGACGCAACAGGGTTCCAATAGAAAAGGTCGACGGCAGATTGGCGCAAAGGACCAGGTACTTCTAGCGACTCCACACCAAGACCGATTCTCCAGCGAACACTCGTCCCAGCAACACGTATTCCTTTTCACAAACGTTGTTTTCAATAAAAATACTTCATTGTTACCGTTGAGAGAGCGTTTTATTTTTGCTGTACAGCGAAAGCAACCCTCAAAATTGATTAGGGAATAAACGCACTAATATAAAACGTCAATGTACAGGGTAGCAAAAATGTTAGGTCCAATTTAATTCAAGCATACCCTTATAGGTGGCACCCTCTACAAGCATCGCCATTAGCAATGACATATTTATATTTAGCATCCTAGAAAACCTCTGTAGGTACGCCAAATTTTATGCCAAATCTGAAAATTATTCCTAAAAAATCGAACAAACTTTAACTCCCTATATATGAAGAACTAAGCATCTGTGGACCCACAACCCACATTTATAGTAAACAAGTCTTATTTTGACCTCAAAAATATTCCCCTAAATTATTGGTAGGTAGGTACTGAATTTTGAATCAGCCTGTACGTCTGTATCTCAAAACGCTGTACTTATGTTGGTTTGTGACGCATTATAATAATACATGTATTATAAATATGCTTGGGGTCCTACAAAGTAAACGTCAAAATGTGTAGGAGTGGCACAGGGAGTGGGTCAAGCATCAGCCCCGCCCCATAGACATAATAATACTTTTGTTTACGTACCCATATGAGTAACTTTAGTCATACTTATTTACTTTTAATAATCATAAACAAAAACAAGGCTAATACGTAATAAACCACAAGGTCAAGGTCTATGCCTGAACGATGATAACGGTCTACCAACATAAAAGCACAAATAAAGTAGCGAAACGAAACTGCCACCACCTAAATGAAACTCCCTACTTTTTCGTTTTACTTGAAAATTTAAATTAATATTGTCAAATAAACAAAAACATTTCACGTTTCATTTCATTTTCAATATTATTCTAACTCGTTATGATGATTACTAAATATTTTCAAAGGTTTGAAAAATACAACTTTCATAGGTAACTAAACAACGCGGCAAATTCAAATTGTAAGAACGCGTTACAAACTTGAAAAAAGTATATATATTTGGGTGGTCTATGTTTGGCCCATGTAATCTATGGGTTGGCCCTGTCAAGTTAATAATTCCAGTTCATTCCATTTATAGTGATTTTATAAGAATGGCGAATAAAGGAAAATTTATCGACAGATCACCTATAATACAAGCTGTATGTATCTAGTGAATTATAATATTATATCACCAATAATACAACCTGTACGTATCGTTTGATTTATAAAGTTCTGATAATTTTGTACTTTCAAGGCGGGGAAGTCTTCAGGAGTAGACGAGGACACTGTATCATCCAGTTTTGACGATTTACAAGTTACTGCACATGAAAGTTTCTGGGAAAAGGAAGTCGGTAAGCCTCGGGACAAAGTTAATTTTTTCATGATATAGTCAAATTTTTTTGTTTATATCTCGCAGGTGTGCTATTCGATTTTTTTTACTGGGTATGTCGAAAAAACAATAGCACGTATTTGTTAATTAAAGATAAAAATCGACTGAATTCGAATATAAATGTATTAAATACATATTTATTACTGAAAATTTGCGAAAATTTGTTTCTTAAACAATGTTGATTGTTCATTATAGATGTTCGGAAAGCTACGTAAAATATACAGATTTGTCCGTAGTGTTGTGTGAAAAAATTTTTCTCGAAAACTAGGTTCGACCGCACAAAAATAACTTCAGCTTCGTGTTCAGCACCATCAAAAATAGGGGAGGTAGGAAAATTTTTGTGACGATTCGGAGGGGTTACGGTATAGTAAATAATTATCAAGATATTAGATCTTCTCGCTACAGGGATCTTGGAAACGGTAAGAGGTACAAAGTAGCTTAAATGGGGGCAAAGTTGCGTAATCAGGGGGCCAACATTATGCCTCTAAAAAATCCAGGCTAACATGTAGTTTTCGAAATATTTGAAAAAAACGAAATTTTGGAAATCCGTTTTTGTTTAATTTCAGCCTTATTTGAGGTGATATTGAAAAAAGAAGAACACTTTCTCATGACCACTTTTTGCCCTCTATTGAATATCAATTTTTATAATTAACGTTTCGTCTCCAGGACCATCAACAACTTCATTTTTTTAAATACGACCCTAGAAATTTTATTACATTTTTTGCAAGCCTTCATGACCCCCAATACTGTACTGCCTCAGCCCGAACCAGATTCAGACGTTTTGTCTCGAAAAATTCATCTTCAGTGTATTCGTTCCAAATTTATCTAAATTTTTTATTTAGATTTCTTTGTTTATTGAATTATCGTACACTGTAAGTGTCGTTAGACCCTGTGAAATCCATCTAGTTATTTAAACTATTACCACCACGCATTAAAATAAAACATTATTAGAGTTTTATTCCCGTGTCCATAGTTATTTCTAGGCTTCTCGAGTGCTCAAAATTCAAACAAATTCCGATCTATTTTTTTCAGGATATTCATACAAATACATCTGACATGCTCTTTCACAGTTGCAGTTACAGATATAATAAATTCCAATAATATTTCCGATAATATTACACCGATCTTCATTTTTAACCTTTGCTAAAACGAAAATGTTTTTGAACATTTACTGAATTTTTTAAAGAATAATATTCAGTTGGGGTTGACACTTACAGTGTGCGATAATAAACAAAGAAATCTAAATAAAAAATTTAGATAAATTTGGAACGAATACACTGAAGATGAATTTTTCGAAACAAAACGTCTGAATCTGGTTCGGGCTGAGGCAGTACAATATTGGGGGTCATGAAGGCTTGCAAAAAATGTAATAAAATTTCTAGGGTCGTATTTAAAAAAATTAAGTTGATGATGGTCCTGGAGAGACGAAACGTTACATATGAAAATTGATTATGCCATTCGATAAAGGGCAAAAAGGGGCCATGAGAAGGTGTTGTTCTTTTTTCAATAATACCTCAAACAAGGCTAAAATGAAACAAAAACGGATTTCCAAAATTTCTGTTTTTTTCCAATATTTCGAAAACTAATCATGTTAGCCTTGATTTTTTAGAGGCATAATGTTAGTCCCCTGATTACGCAACTTTGGCCCCATTTAAGCTACGTCGTATCTCTTACCATTTCAGAGATCCTTGTAGTGAGAAGCGAATTTGTAACATCTTGTAGACAGACCTGAACCTGGGAAATTTTTCAAACTTACCAATATTTCACAATTTTTTTTACACACGTGATTTTCAGAGCCGACAACTCAAGAATTGGTGTCTACCAATTCAAAACCTCCATATAAAGTGATTTGGGACAAGCGTGCTACACATGAAAGGTATAAGAAGACTCACGATGACTTTAACCCATCTGAGAGGATGACCAGAGGGTAAGTACCGCCTAGAACAACGTTAAACATTTTCTGTTAAATAAATATCTTTAACTGACCTTAGAGGGAACTTTTTCCAGGTACGATGATCACTTTGATCCTGCTCAGAAATTTGAAGGTAAAACACAATACGATGCAAGAGGCATATGGGTGAGGTGTGCCTGCGAGTGGCACAGCCACGAACCCATAATTTCCTCCGATCAGATCCAAGCGAATTTCAACAAACGAACAAAATCACAACTGGGAGAGGTCTTAGCTCCGTAAGTATACAGCGTGTTTCAGAATTAATCGCTAAACATAAAAATAAGAAAAAAGTACTACGAAGGAATGTCCAGAAATGCTCTTGTCTTTTTTGTACTAGGGGTTGAGATTTGAAATAAATTAAGATGTCTTAAATATCTCTAATGATGTTTGATATAGAACAGTGAAACTTGAATAATAATTTTTTTAATTAATACTGGTTGGGCGATATCGATTGGTGACCTTCAATTTGACTTTGACAATATCCTTCAAGGCCATTTGAATCTATCAATTTTTAAATAGGAACCTCTATTTTTGACCCCAGATTTGGAGAGCGCAAAATTTTACGTTTAGATCCTCTTCTTCGTCAAGGTCAAATTGAAGGTCACCATCCGGTATCCCCCTCCGAAACCAACAACTTTTGAAAGGGTTATTTTCGGATTGGTGGCTCCCATGACGAGATATTCAGCTATGTAATTTAAAATATTTTGTCCTTGAAATAACATTTAAAGGTCATTCCAACGAAGAGCCTTTTTTTCTATCTTTAATCAAAATAATAATTAGCACAAGTTTCATCATTATACATGAACCGCCTTCAAATATTTAAAAAATGGTAAATATTTTTTAAATTTCAACACCCTGCATCTATATAACTGTTTCTGGTTTAAAACTACTCAAAAAGGAAGCAAAAGAAGAAGAAAAACAAAGTAGATTTAACTGTTTATTTCAACAGCTTGTAACTCAAAATTTTCAGACTTTTCTTCATAGGAAGTTTTTCCAGTTAATCCTGAAATGCTGTATATTTCAAATAAATAAAACGAACTGGAATTAAAAACATAAAAATTAAGAAATATACAAAATAAATCAGATAAATTAACGAAACTTCCATTCATCTATTAATATTTTCAGTAATTGCAACTTAGACTGTGTCCCAAGGGGTCACAGTTTCGGAAGAGTAAAGCCTAAGTCATCCAACGGCACTTCCGATTTGATAACTGACTCGAATCAGTCTTCATGTTTGTTTAAACGAGACTTCTACAAGTGGCTAGGGTCCTTGAACGATTTAAAATTGTCGTTGAAGCACAGAAGCGATGAGGATTTTCAATTCAACGATTTCTGTGACAAAGCCCAGCATTTTGACAAAGTAAAATTTTTGAATATGCAGGGTGAGACGGGAGAAACGTTTCAAGCTCTAGGTGTACATTCGACGCGAAGAAATAGTTTAAAAGCTCGAGTCTTTTCCGATTTTTATTTGTTTTGAAGTTAAACGCCGTAACACAACGACGGTGTCTTAAATTAATAAAACGGTGACAAAAATGTTGTATACTGGCTATTAATTTAATTGTTTATAAATTTTGTTATGCTTAAGTTGAAAAAAATAATAAGAATTTGAGTTTTTTTTATTATTATTAAGTGTAGAATACACTCCTAGAATTTGGGGGTTCGTCCTGACTCAGCCTGTATAGAAATAGCATTCGACGAGAATTTTTTGTAGGAGGAAACCGGATGGTTGCCAGTAGACACGTTTTTCGAACTGTGTATGTGTCACAAACTCACTTTCCCTAAGGAAGACATCGAATCCCTTATGAGGATCCTGGGTGTTATTGTAGACGACAAAGTCGATTATAAAAGATTCATTGAAATAATTGATGTTGATTCGCCATCGTTCCAAATAATGGAGTTTCATGGTAATTGAAAGTCCAATTTTTTTTCCATTATACTGCTATAGAGAGTGTAACTGATTTTATTTTGATAACTTCGGGAATAATAGAAGTGAAAATAAATAAAAAAAAACATCCTGTATTACAAAAAAAATTATTCTCATTGTGTCTCCCAAAATTATTATCAAAATAAAACCTATTTACACTCGGTACAAAATAAAATCAATTAAATTGAAGAAAATCACGAAACGGCTACTAATAGAAACAAAATATTTGTTTTTTAATATTCATTTGTTGGATTTTTAGATATACCCAAGACAAGCAGGTACTACGTGGGACCAGATCAGGCTGCAACTTACGACTACATGATAATGGACAGTTCAGGTAAGTGGACAAAGAAACGTAACAAAAAAAATTACTTTTTCAAATTTTTCAAGGCATGCACGCAGCTGGATTACCGTCTGTCCATTCTGATCATTTTCACATTTCTACAAAACTGGCAGTGGACGAGCAAAAATTTGAGAAAAAGTAATACATTTATATGTGGTGAAAATATTCGCTAAACTAACACAAGCTTTCCTTGTATTCCTCTAACTTAAAAGAAAAAAAAAATACTTAATTTAGATTTAAATGCATTTAAATTCATCGCATTTGGTAGCTATATTGTCACTGAAAAGTGATTACTTGGCTAGTATTTATATTTAAAATGAAATAATATAGTTGTATACTCAAAAATGTAAACAAGCATTTCATGTATTAATAAATTTGCAACAATTAAAATGGTGTTTTTTGAACTTTCTACAAGAAAATTTGCATTTAGGTAAGTATACCTCCTCAAAATATAATATATGATTTTAATAAAGTAGTAAAAGTTTATATGTAACAATGTTCGGGATCCAGGAGTGGTTGTCTGATGTGGCCCCACGTTGGGCGCCATGTTCAGAATCCGGGAGTGGTCTTGTTTGGATGTGAAGTTCGACTTGTTTCTCTCCATGGAACGAGACATTTATTTTTATTTCACGTTTGTCCCTTTCTATCCAGAAAGGTCGAGAGGTAGGTAACCATAGGAAAATCAAAATGTATTACTTATTTGACTCGAAGGCACTAAACTCAAAACTAACTGGATTCAAAACTGAATTAAATTGCAACTGCTAGGGAATGTACGGAACTGAACTGACCAAATTCAAGAACTGAAGTGAACTGAATTCGACGAATTCAGAAACTGAACTGCTTTTTTAGAATTCTTTCCGAATTCGACAATAAGAAACAATTTAACAAGTTAGCATCTGAGAGATAAAAAGCTTGGCTAAATAATTTAAAAAGGACTGACCGTTTAGGAAAATCTTCATTGCCACTACATTCTGCTAGATTTAATATGTACTCCGAATACACTAATTTTATCTTTATACCATTAGCACTTTCAGTGTCTAACGTATAGTAATATAATCACTATACACGATTTATTTATATACACGTTTACATTATTGTAATCACAAAATAATAAGAAAATATAACAACTTGCAAACTATTACCGGATATCAGAACACAACGTTTTTGTAACGAGAAATAAATAAGTTTGAGGTTATGTTATGATTATGAATTTTCTTTGTTTTACCTACAAGATCCAAGCGACGCCTACTTTGGTCACGTGCCGCAGATGCTAAAATTAATAGGGGTCTTTAGTATAAAAATTTTTGAAAAAACCCCTGAAAAGTTAATCGTATTTTCGGTTTATCACCTAATACTTTCTACACAAAATCATAAAATTTGTGAAAGAGTAAGAAACAGTAACAATAAATGACATTGACATTTGTTTCTATTTTATGGATTCCAATGTAAAGAACAGGCCACTAGATCTTTCGGCAAAATACACTGGCGTTAAACAGCTCATCTTTTTAAAAATGCATTGCAATACGTTTATTTTTTTTTCTCGTAAATCCTTAAAGAGATCAAAAAGTTAGTAAATGAATGGGTCTTTTTAAACATATTTTTAAAAGGAAATAAATTTATTGAAAAAAAATTATAAGAAAAAATGTCGTAGGGGTTGATTATTCAACAAAAATATTTCAGGGTTAAAAAAATTTCAAAAAGTAGCATTTTTGAAAGATAATCTTCACCAAGTTTGGTTTGTTAAGCTTGATATACATGGAAGATAAAAAAGAAAAACAATTTTTTTTTGGAGGGGCTTAACTTTTCAGGGTAGTTTTTCTAAAAATTTTATACCAGACTATTTTCATCAGAGAATCGCCCATTACATTTTTTTGGTGTTATTTAGATACACCATGTATATTTTGCGGATGCTACCAACAGCAAATTGAAATTCCCTATAAGAAGCGGCAAATTCAAATATGCGAAATAAACGCGCAAACTTAAAAAATATATGTTGCACCGTCAAATTGACATTTTTTTGTTAACTTTCTTTTCATAAATATGGCAAATAAAGGAAAATTTATCGACAGATCACCTATAATACGTGCTGTATGCATCAAAATCATGCTGGAAGGTGAACAGAACTGTTAACATTTTTTATATTCAAGGCGGGGAAGTCTACGGGCATAGCTGAGAATACCGTGGCGACAACATTAAGGGAATATTCTCTAGAGGATCAAATAACAGCCATTAAACATGACGCGAATATTTGGAAGGAGGACGTTTTCATTCCACCTAGAAATCTACCACCGATTAAAATCGCGGAATTTTGTGGAACAAATACAGAGGTATCCAAGTATAAATATTAAGTTAGATTTAGACACCTTATTTTAGATTGTAATATTACAATATATATACAGGTGAAAAAACTATTAAACCCACCAATGCTAACGAGGTATCAGGAATTAATAGAGAATTTAAAAGAAACCCCATACGCAAGTTTCTGGAACAAGGAGCTTGGTAAATCTAGAGACTATGTTCCTGGGTTACCAGCTGGTACGGTCCCGGAATTAATCACGTTTGGCTCGCCACCGGTCATAGGTAAATTTTTGTAAACATACTCAAATTTTAAGTTGCCGATTTTTTTACATCTTATAATTATTGTGAATGAATACTGTAACAATATTAGGTTTGTTTCTGCAGCAGTCTCAAATTGTTTTCAAACTATCAGATATACTCGGCCAATTAAGTTCTCACGTATAGTTTCAGCGAGTGTTACGAATCACTTGGTCAAATATCTCTGATAGTTTCAAATCAGTTCTCAATTGCTGCAGAATAAGTAACACCAGCAAGAATCGATATATTATGGGCACTCCGCAAAAAAATTAAAGGAGCAGAAATATATCCAAATATTTAAAAATTTTGAAAAAAACATTAAATTTCTTTTTAAATTTAAAAAAAAAAATTTTTCTCAACATTTGAAATATTCAATGTACCTAAAATTGTAAAAAAGAGGACGCAAACAATTTTAAAAAATTTTGAAACGATTCTTTTTTCAAAATTTTAAATTCAATTTTGAAAACAAATTTTTAAAAAATTTTTTCGACCTCATTTTTCAATTTTACATTGATTTCAAATATCGAGAAAAATTTTGAAACTGAATTTTCTTTTCAAAATTTAATTTAAAAAAATTTTTTTCATCCTCTTTTTTACAATTTTACATTGATTTCAAATATCGAGACAAATTTATTTTTTAAATTTAAAAAAAGGTTAAAATCTTTTTTTATTTAGAATTTTTTTTTCGATATTTGATGAGTATTTAACGCGAAATTGTGGAAAAAATAACGCAAAAAAATGTGTTTGATGTTTAAGGAGCAATAAACCTGCTCCTTTAATATTTTATAAAACTTTAACGATTCAGAAAAAGAAGGTTCGACCAATAGATTTCAAGTATTTTCATTTAAATTCAATTCTGAAAAATCAAATTTTTAAAATTTTTCTTTCGTCCCCTTTTTTCAATTTTACTTTGATTTCAAATATCGCAAAAAATTTTGACAGACAGACAAATTTAAAATACTTGTTTTGTCCTTTTTTAAAATTTTCGGAAAAAAAGCAAAAAAATTTGATTGATTAAGGAGCAATAAATCTGCTCCTTTAATACTTTACAAAACTTTAACGATTCAGCAAAAGAAAATGGTTCGACCAATCGATTTCCAAAATTTACAGGCCTCATGGGCATGTATTGTGCTAAAAAAAACCTACAAATTGGTACTTTTCGCAATATTTGCAAAGTAGTCGTTGATTTTCCAAAACAGCAGGAAAAGTTACTTTCGAGTACAAAAAAAAATTTTTAAAAATGTTTTTTCAAAATTTTATTCAATTTTGAAAAAACATTTAAAAAATTTTTTTTCGACCTCGTTTTTCAATTTTACATTGATTTCAAATATCGAGAAAAATTTTGAAACTGAATTTTCTTTTCAAAATTTAATTTAAAAAAATTTTTTTCGTCCTCTTTTTCACAATTTTACATTAATTTCAAATATCGAGAAATTTTTTTTAATTGAAAAAAATGGTTGGTTAATTTTGAATTTTTTTTTTTGGTATTTGATGAGTATTTAACGCGAAATTATGGGGAAAAAAACGCAAAAAATTTGTTTGATGTTTAAGGAGCTCCTTTAATTTTTTATATAACTGACGATTCAGAAAACGAAAACGGTTCGACCAATCAATTTCAAAATTTACAAGCCTCATGGACATGTATTGAGATAAAAAAAGCCTACAAACATTGGTACTTTTCGCAATATTGATATGATAAAAAAAAGGTGACTTTTCAATGAATAGTCAATATCTCAATGAGAAATATTCGTACAGAAAATAAAAAAAAACAAATTGAAGCTGATGAATTAGGCGAAATGACCCTGGTATTGATTAAGCCAGAAAAAAATTTTCTGAGCCCATATTTTGGAAAAAAAATTGTAAAATTTTTGCCTTGCATTATTTCTTTTGATTGCGCCGAGGGTGATGCTCACAAAAATTTTTCATCTAAAGATTTGAAAACTAGAATCTTCAAGCTTCAAGATGCTTTTTTCTTTTTCTCGTTACGACCATTATTCACAAAGTTACAGCCTTTCAAAAATCACTAAAAAAATTTGGAAAATTTTCTGCTCCTTTAATTTTATTGCTGACTATATATTTTATAGAACCAACGATGAAAGAGTTGGTAAACCCCCCGAAAACTCCATACGAGGTGCTCTGGGACAGCCAAGTTGCACATGAATGGTACAAGAAAACTCACAACGATTATAACCCGTCCGAGAGGATTACCAGAGGGTATAACTAGGATAATATTTTACCATATTTCATTTCAATAAAATTATTAACAATTTATACAAGTTGGTGACTTTCACGTTTCACAATAGCACAATTATAAATCCAAAAAAGCTTCCTTGCGCATCAATGCGATCTTGTGCTAAACACACCTATAAGGAGTGACCGAAAAAAACCTGTGATTTTTGCCCGTTTTTTCACAATTCGCAGAGAATTAAAAAAAATACATAAAAATATGTTTTTGGTCGCAAAATACTTATCGTAAAAAACTGAAATAAGCATGCCATGAAAATGCCAAAAATGAAGAATTTGAATATTACCAATTGATATAAAAACAGCATGTGAATTATCTTAATATTTTTTTTTGGAATTTTTACAATTATTTCTGATATTCTCTATTTTTGGGGATGATTCCACCCCCTGAGCGCGCGTAAGGGTGGATTTTCTAATTCAACATGCTTATTTCAGTCATGAGAATAAATCTTTCTTTGTATCAAGAATCATTCGATAGAAAAATTCACATGTTAATAGTTTTTATATTTATTGGTAATATTCAATTATTCATTTTGGGCGTCTTTTCAACCCCAAAATAGGGGTGATTTTTGAAAATTTTCAAAAAACTAAAAGCTATGCTCATCTTAATTTTTTACGGGTAATGTGAGACCAAAAACATATTTTTATCTATTTTCTTTAGTTCTCTGCGAATTGTGAAAAAACGGGTGATTTTTGGTGGATTTTTCAATGGTGAAAGAGTGACCGCAAAAAAAGCCATTTTTTCGCCTGTTTTTGAGACTTTGATTTTATATGATAATTGAACCCACAATGACTAGATCCGAAGGAAAACACCCCTAAATGAGGGTAAAACCACCCCTAACTTCAACCGTATACATATAAAAGAAAAAGAAAAAAAACTGTAACAATATATTTTTGCATTTTTAGGCGTTTAGGGGATGATTTTACCCCTTTAGGGATATTAAGGGTTGATTTTCAATCCGGAAAAGACCGTATCAAATACGAAATTAGATATTTTCACGTTCATATTATTTTGATAACAACATAGAAATATTTGTAGTTTTACAACTGTTGATGATGCTTAATTTGTTCACTTTTTTTGTCTTTTCAACCCCTAAATAAGGGTGATTTTCGAAAATTTTCGAAAAACTCATGACGAGTTTTTGGATATATTTAGAATATTTTTAGGATTTTTCCTGTCGCCTCCTGTCAAAGTTTCAAAAACAGGCGGATTTTGCGGTAACTCTTTCTTTCAGACTTTCATAATTTAAGGATTATTTTTTACTTAATTTTGTGAAAGTATAAATACGTAATGTATTCCGATTATAATAATATTCTTATTCTAGTTACAATGAACACTTTGATCCCACTCAAAGATTTGGAGGTAAAAGCCGATACGACCTGAGAGGCATATGGGTAAGATGTGCTTGCGACTGGCACCACAAGGAAGCCGCAGTTTCCGCCAATAAAATAAAAGCAAATTTCATCGAACGAACAAAACCGCTACTTGGAAAAGTCTTAGCTCCGTAAGTAAATATTCCAAAAAAGTTGTTTGAGCGACTCAATTTTAAGTAAATTTTTTAGTAATCATAATGTATATTGCGTCCCGAAAGGTCACCGTTTTGGAAAAGTAATTCCCAAGCCATTTTACGGCATATCCGAGCTGTTGAAAGACTCAAACGTGACGCCATGTTTGTTTAAGCGAGACTTCTACAAGTGGCTAGGGTCGCTGAACCGTTTGAAATTGTTGTTGAAACAAAGAAGCAATAAAGATTTGCATTTGGACGATTTCTACAGGACAGCCATGTATTTTGACAAAGTAACAGTGTTTTCTAAGTTAAAAAAGTAGTACTGGAAAGGAATTTTTTTAGGAGAAGACGGGATGGTTGCCGATAGACACATTTTACGAGTTGTGTGCCTGTCAAGCACTCACTTTTCCCAAGGAAGACATCGAATCTCTTATGAAAGTCCTGGGCGTTATTGTCGACGACAAAATCGACTATAAAAGATTCATTGAAATGATTAACATCCATTCGCCATCGTTCGAGATAATGGAGTTTAACGGTAGATTTTTCTATACAGGGTGTCACCTAACGAATGTTACATACTCAAGGGTATAATCTAGAACCCAAATGGTGTCGATGTAACCAAACTTGCTTAAACGAAAAATGTCGCAAGAAAAAGTTACAGGGTGTTAAAGTTTCTCTTTTTATTTTTTGTTTTGTCCTTAACTCAGAACCCAGTTAACCGATTTGAGCAAAATTGCTGTTTCGCTTCATGAAGTATGCAGTGATTATGTTCCTATTAGGTTAAATCATACAGGGCGTTCATTTTACTACAACCCTTTGACAACAGTAAATTTTGCTCAAATCGGTTAACTGGGTCAGAGTTAAGGAGAAAACAAGAAATATAAAAAGAAACTAACATCCTGTAACTTTTTTTTATGATATTTTTCGTTTAAGCAAGTTCGGTTTGAATTGACACCATTTAGGTTCTAGATTATATCTTTGAAGTATGTAACATTTGTTGGGTGTCACCCTGTATTTCCAAACTAATTCAAAAGGAGATCATTTCATGGAAAAATATTCCATTTCAACTTTCTAAATTCCAAAAAGTATTATCATTTAAGAAAACTTTTTTTTTCAACTTTTGCATTTGGATATTTGTCGTTTATCAGAAATTCCCTTTTAGATATCCCCAAGGAAAGCAGGTACTACTTAACGACGAATCAGGCTGCAAGTTGCGACTACCTGGTAATGGACAATTCAGGTATGCGTGCCGCGGGTGTACCGTCTATCCGTTACGATATACAACATCCCGTCACTCCTTTCGGAGGTTGCAGGGCGGATATAGGACACCTGGGAGATTATACTTCGGCTAACGCCTTGATTAACCCCAGCATATACACTAATTACGGGCTGACCTACAGGGATTTCTTCGTGGTAAGTAGCAACAAGACAAGGAATCTCGGTTATTAGTCCAGTATACAACGGTAAAAATAGGGTATTACCTCCGAATTCTTGACACACACACCGATTTTCATGAAAATTGGTGAGTAAGCTCACTTCGCCCTCCTTTACAAAAGTTACATATCCATAATGTGCGCTTATTGTTTTTAGGGGGTGAAAACTACCCCTTCTTGCAAAAAACGTAAAAACCATAGATTTAAGTTATGTCAATAGAAGAAGCATTATTTTATGTTTTGAATAATAATTTTTGATTTGTAGCAACATTTCAACCCTTAAAATTCACCCTTTACGAGGAAAAAAACAAAAATTAATTTTCACGGGTCTGAAATGTTTTAACGGAGCAATAATGAAGAATTGGATATTTTTTACTGTTTATGAAATAATACATGATTTAGTACAACGTTTCAACCCTTAAAAACAACCCTTAATGAGGTGTATATATATATATACATGTGCGTGTGTGTGTTTGTGTGTGTATTACACCTCGGAAACTATCGGAAATTAAGCCATTTGCACAATTCGACAATTTTCACTGAATAATACAATTCGTTTTTTCACGATAACTTTTTTAATTTTTAATATTTGTCATCGCTCCAAAAAGCAATTTGCAGGGAATTGCAAGAGCAACAAATCAACCTTTATGGTTAAAGGGTCTTGAACTCTTCGTTTTCGAGATTTTTAGGTTTTAAGGGCTCAAAGAAGGTGGTCCTTACACGCAAATGCTAACTAAAAAATGTAATATCTCAGTTAATTTTTGCTCTACAGAAAAATTGAAAGAGAGAAAATATTATAAAAAAAAGACCTTTCATTTTGAACTGTTGCATTTTTTACGTATCTTGTTTAGTTTTTGAGTTATTTCGAAAAAAAGGAAATTTTTATAAAAATTAAAAAATTTTCGTTATTTCAAACTTTTTTTTAAATTTAGGCATTCTAAACCGGTCAAACTTGCAAAGCGTATTAATAGTACCTAAATAAAGTAAACTATACATGGATTACGCTTAATTTCTATTTTGATGGTTCAGCCATAGATTTTACTGTTGATTTTTTCTCCAAAAAAAATGAGATGACCATTTTATTTTCATCATAACTCAGCGAGTTTTTGAGCTACGAAATTTTTTCAAAAAGCATTTTGAAGGTCTTTCCAAGCACTTTAAAAAAGGTTATATTCATTTTCTTCGAAAAATTGGTTCTTTCGCCATTATTTTATGGTGAAAGGTTCGATTTTTGCTTTCCGAAAAACAATCACCTTTAGAGAGTAATATATCGGTTATTATTACAACTACGGTAATCAACAAACAACGAATCGATTCGTTATTTCAAAAGCTTTATTTTTGCTTTATATGTGTTTTTCCATAAAACGCAAGGTTTTCGAGTTACTTATCTATCAAAAATGGTTGAAAAACACGTACTTTTTAGATGAAAAATCAACATTTTCAATCGCGAATAACTCTGAAAATATTAATTTTTGGAAAAAACGTTATAGAGCATTTTCATCCCTCTATTGATTTTTGTGATTAAAAGGGTGAAAGCACACATCGGCACTATGTAACTTTTGTTTCTTGAGCAAATCTACTTTTTCTATTTATTGTTAAAATTTCACGTCAATCGGTGCATGTGTCAAGAATTCGAACCTAAAAACTGTCATATACTGAGCTATATGTTATGAGATGTAAGATCGGTCAAAGTAGAAAAAATTTCAGAAATTACTAAAATATGAAAGTGCTCAAATCATTCATAAAAACTTCTCGGTGAATACATGGGTTATCGGATACACTTTTACCAAAATCTTTGTCTGGTTAAGTAAATTTCCTTAAAAAAATTACGAAAATATGAAAGTATGTTTTTGGATTTGCTAAAAAATGTCAGTTGTGTCTGATTCACTCTGACTAATAACAATTTTTTGTCAAAAATATTTATTGTAAAACGAATAATAGACACTGAGCGTTGGTGAGACATAACCTACAAAGCATGTCATACCTTAAATATCATCGCTATTTTATGTCTACTGTCACATGCGCTCATAGCACCTACAGATTAGTAGGCCACTTTGCGTCAGTAGGTACATGTACCAGTAGGCATAGAGTAACAATGACATTTAGAGTTGACATATTTTATAGGTTATATCTCACCAACACAAACCTATCTATGTCTGATGACTCTCTCTGACAGACGATCTCAGCTATTTACTAGATATTGGGGGTATAATTCAATGCCAGTCGGGGCATATAGTTATTTTTAAGGAAAGTGATTTTGATTTGTTTCTCGTAGCCGAGATCTCCGCAAACGATTCGGACCCTATTCGAAAAAGTGGGGTACAGCTTCCCGGGGGACACGTTCGAAAGGCTGTGGAAAGTTGGCGTAGCAATAGATAAAACCGGGTTGGTGTGCGTCGACACGTTCAAGATGTTACTAAAAACACATAGACCCTATCCGAAATTAGCAGTGGACGAGCAGGAATGCAAGAAGAGTCCGAAATTAGCAGTGGACGAGCAGGAATGCAAGAAGTGTCCGAAATTAGCAGTGGACGAGCAGGAATGCAAGAAGAGATATCAATAAAATATTTTAATTTAAATTAACGTCATTTCCTGAGCAAAAAATAAATATTTTTGTCTTCGATTTTCGTGCATTTATTTTGCAAAAAGTAAAAAAATGTGGTTTCGTAACAGAATTTAAGAAAGCAAACATATAGATAAGTATTTCTATGTGACAAATGTAGCCTCCCCCAAAGTTATCGAAACTACTGTGAAACGCTGAATTTTCTTTTATTTTTCAAAACACCGTAAAACCAATTACTTTTTTCCAATAGCGAAAAATTCTGAAAGATATTAAAACATTTATTAAAAAAAAAAAAAAAACATTTTACCTTAACATCTAGCAACAATTACACCCCCTTACAAAATACATGGATTCGATCAACTTTTCCTTCTCTCCCTCTTCTCCTTGTCCCTCCGGTATCTCTCCTTGTTCCTACCGGTATCATAGCTTCTCGATCGCCTCCTCGACGATTTCTCCGAAGTCTTGGGCTCGTCCTTGTGTCTGCCCCGTTCTTCATATTTACTTCCGCCAGCTTCGCGATCCCTTCTCCTCCTCTCCTCCCAACCCTCGTAGTCCCTTCTTCTCCTTTCTTCGCCGTCTTCGTCGCGATTTCTTCTAACCCTCCTCTGATCTTCCTCCATATCTGAAGGTTTGTTTTTCTTTTTGTTTTTATTCCGACTAGGTTCCTCTTCCCCTGACGAATCCGACGCTTTCTGCTTCTTCGCGCGCTTGGCACCTTTGGGCCCATTTTTGTCTTTCCTCTTCTTTTTCTTTTTCTGATTCTCTTCCTCTGAACTGGACGATGAGTCTGAAAAATGAAAAATCCAAAAATTATGGGCTCTCCGACAGATTTCTACATAATTCACAGGGTGATATTTGCAGATCTTGTAGGTACATTTTAATAATTTCAAGGTTGAGGGTAAATGTGAGTCGACCCTGTGAATCTTGTGCATGTGCGTTGTGCATTGCAGTATTACTTTTTCAATGAATGTGTGATGGTGTTTTTGGTGACATAATTCTGACCGTCGCACTATGGGCGAAAATGCTCAAAATTCCATGCGAGGTAGTAAAACTTGTCCAAATTGGGATATATATTTTTTAAATACTCGTAATTATGTCCGCTTTCTTATGTCACTGCGACAATTGCGATATTTTAAGATCTCAACTTGCGATACCTTAAATACTCTTATAAACTGCAATCAGAAATGTTTCCCATAGACAATACCATAAAATATGAACAATATTTAGCGAATATAAAAATGTAAGGTATAGCTTTTAAAACCAGTTAATTGTAAACTCATCAACAACAAATTCTTGAAACCATTTAGTTTGAAACTCAAACTACTTTTTGTTATAAAGAAATTTGTAATTTGCCGCTATTGAACAAGCGGCATTGTAAATTACAAATTTCTTTGCACCAAAATGTAATTTGAGTTTCAAACTAACTCCATTTTATAGAAAATCTGCGTTAAAATGGAGGAAAGTCTGTTATTTGTGAATTGATTCATATTTAGACAAATTGTGTAATAAAATCTATAAAAATGTATTGCTGGTTGCCTATTTGCTATGAAGTCCTCTTAACATACAAGAAATATGCCCAACAATTTTTTTTTCCAAAATCTAGACAAAATTTTTTTAATCAAGACATTTTTAACTTGGTCTTTTTCTTTCTGACACTATTTCTTGTATTAATTTTTCTTTGAATATTCCCAAAAATCACCATTGTCCATATTTAGGTGAATTGTATATCCATGGAGATTTTTGGGTTTTTGGCTTTCAAATATCACTAGAAATTAAAATTTTTCTATGCGCATAACTTTTGGCGGCACAATATGTTAAAAAAATTCGAATACTGTCATATTTTTCTTCCTATTTAATTATGTATCTTTTCAAGAGTTGATTTTAGGCGAAAATGGAAAAGGAAAAAAATGTTTGTAATAAATTTTTTTACAAAATATGACTAGTTACAAATCGAATGAATCATGATTATTATTGTAAAAATCGAAAATATCGCCAAAAATGGGGTTAAAAAACATTACATTTTAGAGATTTTTTTGGGGTCTTTAAATTGGTTACAGGACCTTCATATTTGGCTCAAGAAAAGTTCATGTTATGTAGAATCATCACTCCAAATTTCATCAAAATCAGTTCAATAGATTTTGCATAATAATTTTTCAATCCAGATTTTGAAAAAAAAATATGCAAATTTTCAAAATTTTGCACAGCAAAAACCAAGGCCCTTAGATACTTGAAAATTTAATCACATATAGAAGGGCTCTCAAACTTTCAAACCCTTTTTGAAAAATTCGAATCCATCTATTAGGAGAGCTCTGGTGCTTGTTTAAACATTGGTCGAATTTTTGTACTTATAAACAATTAGAATAATTTTGTGAATATTCAATCAAATCAAATTTTTTAAAATACGTTTTAAAAATTCTTGGAGACGCTTCTTTTAAAAAAAACATTGGTCAATTAATTACGTAGTTATAGCTGATCAAAGTTAAATTAACTCATAATATTACTAATTTTCAATATATTTTGAAAATAATTGTTGTTTAAACAATTTTAGAATATTTAAATGAATTTATTTTTGATCTTTGATAAACAGTATATAAGTTTATGCACTTACCTTTGATACAATAAAAAAATAAAGTTGATAATTAAAGGAAGTTTAAAGATAAATAATTATCGGACTGTCGAAAGACCAATAATTATTAACGATAGGCATTTGAAAATATGTTAATTGTGTATGTTTTTTTTAAATCGCGAGACATCTATTTAAAAAAAAATGATCGAAATTGGTGCATTAGAAGCTGAGATAATTTAAATTTTTCCGACCGTCGCAGTTTTGAACTCGAGAATTCAGATCGGAGTAGCTGTGTGTTTGCTCCCGCACCACTGATACCTCATTGATTTCACGCGGTCTTGAATACCTTTGAGTGACATTTTAAATGGGATGCCCGTGACTGCAAATTTTGAAAATGTATATCTGGAAAGTACTCGGAATGACAAACCTATTAGTTCAAAAAAACAGCCCTTATACCCTTATAGTTTTGCTGTAAATAAGGGTTAACTTTAACAGGCTATAACTCTGAAAATAATGGGCGGATCAGGTTTTTTTTTTTAAATACTCGTCCCTCCGAGTACTTTCAAACCATATTTTGAAATAAAAAAACATTTGAAAAAACATTAAATTATTGCAATTGTTTATAAGCGTGAAAATTGCGAAAATGTTTAAACAATCACCACGGCTCGCCTAATCGTCCGATTTGAATTTTAAAGCTTGAGAGCTCTTCTTTTTATGGTGAAATTTTCAAGTATTCAAAGGCTTTAGATTTTTAGAAATTTGATTTTGAAAAATTTTAAATTAAAAAAAAATTTAACAATTCTTATGTAAAAACTATCGAACCGAATTGGATGAAATTTAGTGCGATGATTTTATACACTAAGAAGTTTAATTGGGAAAAGTATGAACATCCAAGGCATTATTCAAGTGTCTGAAAAAAATTGACAAATAAAATAGCATATTTTGCAATTTTTTAAATGATTTTTCCGATTTTTGCATCAACAATAATTATTTTCTCGAATTGCAAGTAACTATCTTGTTCAAAATTTAATTACAAAACTTTTTTCCTCTTCCATTTTTGTCTAAAATAAATAGTTGCTAAGTTGTCGACGAGAAATCCAAGAAAAAATTAATTTTTTTGCTATTTTTTTATACTTTTTTTGCAATAACAATTAAGCCCACGTTTTGCACAGAAAAATTATCATTTCTGATGTTATTTAGAAGCCGTTAAAGCAAAAACCTCCGATCATATGCGTTTTACCCAACCCGAAACAGATACCGCCTGGACTACTAGTCATATTCTGTAAAACATTTAATTACAAACATTTTTTCCTTTTCCATTTTCGCCTAAAATCAATTCTTAAAAAGATACACAATGAAATAGGAAGAAAAATATGACATTTTAAAAATTTTTTTAACATATTGTGCCAACAAAAGTTAAGCCCACGTTTTTCTTATGCGCATAAAAAAAAATTGGCATTTCTAGTGATATTTGAAACCCAAAAAGCCAAAAATCTCCGTGGATATACGATTCACCCAAACCAAAACAGATACCACCTAGTCTACAAATTTAAAAATTTTGAGGAACAGCATCATTTCCAGCATTTAAAAAAAAAAACGTCTTTGATAGATGCTTTTATGCACGTCCCATTACTTTGCAATTTTTTTTTTTTTAACGAATTAATGACTAATAATAATCAACCAATAAATCCTGAAGAATTGAACTTATTTTCCAGCAAATGACATCAAGGAAAATAACTGGAATTTTAAAAAATTCCACGAAATTTATAGAAATTCCACAATATTTACAAATTCCCTCATTAATCGCGATTATTCAGAAAAGTTCCACCGCGTTTAATTTCAATTAATTACCTGAACTTTCCTCCGCCTCGCTGGACTCACTAGACGAATTAGAACTACTGCCACTCTCCTTAGCAATGCCGATGTTCAACTCGAAATTCTTCGGGATATTCTTCAAGTGTTCCCGAAGTTCATCCGTCAAACCGCCCAACCCGATAGACGTAAAGAAGTTGATAGAAAACCTCGTATTCTTGGGACTATCTCTCGGAAACAACCCGGCGAAATGTTCCTGGAACGTTCTGAAAAAAAAAAAAAAACATCTGTCAAACAAGACACAAATCGCGGAACCAAAAAATCTTACGGGTCCTTCAGCCTGGCGTTCAGCTTGCCGAGCCCCATGTACTCGGAGAGTTCCTGGAAGAGGATCTTGATGAATATCCTGCTGGAGCTGTTTGTGTCCTCCTCGTTCAGCTTCATGATCTCCAGCACCTCCCAGCCGATGGCGTCCGTGAAGAGCAGGTGCGCGAAGAACTTGCTAACGTTCCGTAGCCTGTTGGCGTCCAGGCGGTGGGTGGTGGCGTACGTGTCCTTGAAGATTTGCTGGAAGGGCTCCACATAGGTCTTGTTGATCTGGCAGAATCTTTGGGCCAGTAGG